TATATATATATATATATATATATATATATATATATATATATATATATATATATATATATATATATATATATATATATATATATATATATATATATATATATATATATATATATATATATATATATATAGATATATATATATATATACAACCCAATATCCCCTGTACAACGTTTAAAAATACGAAATTTAAGAATATCAAAGTACCTTAATCCGAAATTTGAAATCTGTCACGAGCCACCTTAATGGCGTCTCGAGTGATCAGTAGAACAGCTGGTGACATAAAAAACTCAAACTTGGAAACGTTTTTAAACTTTGTGTTTTGCCGAAATAATACACCGTTGCTGAACGACGCTTGCAGTTGCAACATGAGTCGCGGCTTTAGTTTTCGACTCTTGCATCGAGTCGTTCTCTTTTCCTTCTGTCTGATTTTCGCCTGTTTTTATCATGGTGGTGGTTCAGAGTATGACAGGCGAGGAGGTAAAACAGAACCGAACAAATTAAAAGATCAATTCAAAGGTAAACCCTTGAATGTTGACGCTTCTCTCGAACAAGACGAACGCGTCCCTAACTTGACAGAAAATGCGAAACAAATCGATGGCCGCAAGGCGCGGAAGAAAACTGATATTTCAAAGATAGTTGGAAAAGGTACATTGAAAATGTAAGAATGTTAGCACTTCACAAGGAGTAGTTGTTAACCATAATTTATTTTAGGAACTTGGATGAAAACCCTCCGAAGTGAAAGAATACAAAAGAGCCCAGTACTGCCTTTTTCAATTCCATCGCCGTCTGAGGTAAACGTTCCACGCAAAGAATCGACAACCATCTCCCACTCAAATGAGACAAAGTGGCAAAACGATGGCAGTAAAAATATATCTTCATTGAAAAATCAAATTTTTCACCAAAATCACTTGAGAGAAACAGCCAAAAGAGAAACGTTCGCTTCACTCGCAACTCAACATCTCCGGAACAGACGTGAAATTGATGCGATCTTGGCAAGTCCGACCGAATGCGCCAATTTTACTTTTACTATAAAGTATGAAGATAACTACAGAGTATGGAACAACCTTTCAATGATGCGCCAAAGCCGAATGTACCGTTATAACGAGTACAGAGTAACGGACGATCGTCTACAAGTTTGTAATTCTTCTGACACCCTTATTAAACAAAGATGGTGGGATCTGATTGCTCGGGAAAAGGAAGTGTTGGCTTCCAAACATTGTAATGTATCCGTGGACGCGTTTTACTACTCCAATTACACATTATACAAAAATTTTACTGTTTTCTTCAAACCTACTCAGCAGAGTTTCACAAGGCAAGATTACGGAGTGACTTTTGGATATTTTGCAATTTGTTCGTCAAAGCTTAGTCTGTCTTGCAATGATTATTTGTTTAAAGTGAAATACGGCGATCAGTACAACGTTTTCCAAAACTTTTCGCTGTTTTACAACAACAAGATGTATGATTATCGTGAATATCGATTCGGAAACGAAGGTCTTGAAATGTGTGCTTCCAATGATTCAAGAATACGGGCCATTTGGAGAACTCGAAATTCGTGGGAAAAGTTTAAAGATCGGTATAAATGCCGCGGATCTCTTTATATATTATCAGCAAGGTATTACACTGTGAATAAGCAGCTCCCTGTCTATTTCGGAGGTAATGGTCAATATTTCACAAGAAACGAGTATGGGGCGCACGACGGTAAACCTTATGTATGCAAACAAAAGTTCAGACCCCAATCAACAGAGTATACCCAGGAAGATCTATCAATGTGCAACGATTCAATCATCAATATAAAATACGATGATGAATACAAAGTTCGGACTGACTTTTCAATACTTTATAAGAACAAGGTGTACGATTATACTGAGTATCGAGTTCTGAATGATAGCATAAAGATTTGTAACTCCACTGATAACTACGTACAGAATATTTGGAAAGTACGCAATAAATGGGTAAAGGCGCGAATGCATGAAAAAAGTTGCAATAAACCCATTAGAACATTTTGGCCTAACCGAAAGTATTACACTGTGAATAAGCAGTTCACTGTCTATTTCGCAGCTACGAGTCAATATTTCACAAGAAATGAGTATGTGGTGGAAGGCACCCAATTTTATATATGCGAAAATAAGTTGAAACGCAGATCAACAGAGTATGCCCAGGAAGATCAATTAATGTGCAACGATTCAATCATCAATATAAAATACGATGATGAATACAAAGTTCGGACTGACTTTTCAATACTCTATAAGAACAAGGTGTACAATTATACTGAGTATCGAGTTCTGAATGATGGCATAAAGATTTGTATCTCCACTGATAACGACGTAAGGAACATTTGGAAAGTACGCAATAAATGGGTAAAGGCGAAAATGCATCAGAAAAGTTGCAATAAATCCATTAGACAGTCTTGGTTGTACCGACAGTATTACACTGTGAATAAGCAGTTCACTGTCTATCAAGCAGGTAGGAGTCAATACTTCACAAGAAATGACTATGGGGTGAGAGACAGTAAACCTTATATATGCCAAGGAAAGTTGAGACCTATATCAACAGAGTATACCCAGGAAGATCTATTAATGTGCAACGATTCAATCATCATTATCAAATACAATGATGAATACAAAGTTCCGACTGAATTTTCAATAGTCTATGAGAACAAGGTGTACGATTATACTGAGTATCGAGTTCTGAATGATGGCATAAAGATTTGTAACTCCACTGATAACTACCTAAAGAATATTTGGAAAGTACGGAATAAATGGGTAAAGGAGAGAATGCATCGCGCAATTTGCAATGAACCCATTAGAACCATTTGGCCTTACCGAGCGTATTACACTGTGAGTAAGCAGTTTACTGTGTATTTCCCACCAACGTGTCATGTATGTTGATGTATATGGCCTTCAAGGTTGTCTTTTGTTGTACATTATTGGAATGTTCATCTTCACAGCTTATCGAATTCGCCAAAAACTCAAGGCCAGCAGGAACATTGCACAGAAATCGAATGTTGTTAAATGTCGTAAATTTGTCATATTGCTCAAGCTGTCAACCACTACAGCCTTAAGTTATTGGTTTCCTCTCTTCATATCTAGAATCGTTGATTTTGATTTCGACATAAAGATAGCGTTGTATACTGTAACGTTGCTTACTGGTGCCTACATTGGTATTGCGTTTGTCTTCACACAAAGAAATTATCAGTTGCTCAAGAAAAAATATTTCCCAGCAAACAATAAGCCACCAGTTAACTAAATATTCCACTGAATAGACTATAGTGTAAGTAAGTCGGCTGTATAAATGTAAATAGAAGTAATTAAGTAAGCAAGCAAGTTAAGCAAGCAAGCATGTTGCCATGTCCTAATATATAAAGGAAACGTGTGTGTATATACCGGGTGGCCCAAAAAAAAGTACTCCTGTTTGATTCGTAATAACTTCTAAACAAGTAAAGTTTTTAAAGAGAAATAACTTGCATTAAATAGAGGAAGTACTAACTTAGATTTTGATATATTACAGTTGTATTTAACTTAAAAATTCACGGATATATTAATGTTAAAAATGGGGAGCATATTTTGGAATGTGTCTAAAATTAGCGAAAATCGGCATATCAAATATTAACTCCAGCGTTTGTTTGCTTAATGACATATTAGGCTAACTTGTATTTCAGCGAATTATCGTTAAGGTTTGTAAGGGATATGGCGTAGATTTAGACATCTTACATGTAAGTCTTAGCTCATTGTTTCCTGAAATATGAACGTTCGAAATTATGCAAGTATTTAATATTAGGTCTTTGCAAACTTAAATGTACATGAAAGACTGACCATGGAAGGCAGGCGCTTAAATTTTTCGTATTCTTAAATAGCCTAATTTTTTTATGTTTTTAATGGGTTCAAACAGACTGAGTAGATTATTTCTCGGTTAGAGCAGGATGAATATTCTTTATTGAAGGAAATAATACCGTATTGCTTTTTGCAAATACACATCACCGTATCAACGCTACTATTTTGTTACGTTTTGTTCCAAAAATGTTGCAAGTCTCTGGGGAGTTGCTTAATTGTTATGTCTTATGGAGTTGTATGGTTTGATTGTGTTTCATATAATTCTCAGTTTACTCCATGAACTTGCCAAGATTAAGAAACGGCAAAAGAGTTTGGGTGTTCTTAACAAGATTTCAGAACGTTGCAGAAGTTAGAAGAGCTTCACAATTCCGTTGTGACAGCATGCCCTAATTCAGAACTACGAACGATCCAATGACGATCCTTCGCGATGCAGTGGTCTCATGAAATAAGGAAACGTATTCGTGCTAGGAACACACGCGAATTTCGGACGAATGAATCTTGCTTGTATTTTGTAGATATAATAATACTTTGTTTCATAATAAACAATTTGTCAAGTGTCATTTATTTACTGGTAATAGTGCATGTTTCAAATGTTGCTTAGTTAATAGTTCTCAAAATATTTTCACCAAAATCATTGAGCTGTCCGCCATCTTGGATTATTGTGGATGTGACGTCACAAACCGGCTCACACAATTATTTTACACAGATATATTTTTTGTTGCTGTTCTCTTTGCATTGAATTTCGCGTTGAAATCGCTGGAAATGATCATTACTTTTTTCTAAATATCACAAATTTCCGGGGCAGCATGCTCCTGGAATCCCGTAGTGGAATCCTCTGGAAGTCCTTGACAGTTCTAACTAATCTGGATTAGGATTGCATGTTTACATTCGAAACTAACAGGGTTAACATTAACCCAGGTTGAAACTGGTTACTTTTATGATAGATAGTTAGATAGACTTATAGTTAAGTATGATAGATAGACTTATAGTTAAGACTGTATAGTAGTTAAGACTTACAATGATTCTGTTTCAGGATTACATTGAAGAAAAACTGCCAGGGATTTAACCTTCTCATGACCATGGACCGACGCTGTTCTTTGAATGCACATTAGTCGCCTAAAAGCACAGCAAGGCAAATATTATAAAGTATTATACCCAATCCAACTATTAAATTCCAGATCAGTGTGGTTCGGGGCTCAAAATAGCGGGCTGCCAATGGCCAAAAGCAAGCCATATCTTAGGAATGCCAGGGAAAAAAAATTTGAACTGCCTAAGTAAAAAAAAATGGGAGGTGAAATTCTATAGATATATTTCATTTCATTTGCTTACCACAACTCATATATACTAGATCATTTAGTTAACTAAATACGTTTATATTTGAAATGTAAATCCAAGTTTACCGTAGTAAAATAAACAAGTTTAAAAACAATAAAAATGCATATCATGAAAACATTGATTTTTACAATATGACTCATATGAGACATCGCCATTTTGGCTGTTCAATGAATAAAAATGGCAGGGTAAAATTTATTTCACCTGCCAAAATATTTTAGACTGGCAGGTCATATTTTTCTCTACTTCGAGCCCTGGTGTCGTTACTCCATTATCTTACCATGGTAAGTTCCTAATGTAAACAGGTTCGCTGAGTACGGTTTCTTTTAGCCGACTGAAGTCCTTGACAATGAAACGCACAACTCCTTCAGGCCGAGCTGAATCCTCCTCTAATTCCATCTCAGTTTTTGACGTATCCTTCCCCCCTGGATCTGTTATAGACGTGTCCATTGGTTCTAATAACAAAATTGGAAATTGGGTCATTCCAGAAAACATCCATACCACCCCCACAGAGGAAATTGGAAGTTAACCCCCCTACCCCCTTCGGATGTCCTAATACACTTACTATTATCAGAAACAATTTTGTCTCCCCTCTGGATAGCAGATATTTCCTCCGTGGGGGGAGTGTGAAAAGTCTTTTTAGTACTCAATTAACTCACAACATTTTAAGAAACTTTTTGAAAAAATTTAGTCCCACATGAAGAAGTTTTAACAAGTTTACCCTGCTTGTATCATCAAAAACTTAGTTAATTAGGTAAATTATACTACCACGATGGCTTAGGTAAATTATAGTACCACACTGTTTTTAGTCAAGATATTTCAAAAACCAAGCAAGGTATAAAAAAGTTGTAAAGGGTCTTCACGTATAACTCTAAAAGTTTTTTCAAATAAGACAACGTTAATTTTTATTGCCATATATCCCTTTAATCAGGATTATACCAATCAATGAGACAGGTTGAAAAAATCACTATCCAGTGGATAGCTCTATCACCAGACAGGTTTAAAAAATCATTATCTGGTGGATAGCTCTATCACTAGACAGGTTGAAAAAATCACTATCTGGTGGATAGCTCTATCCTGTTTTTGTGCATCTGGCACCTGGAATTTTGCAAACTAAAATAGCAAATTAAGTGAAAAGATTTGCAGGCATAAATTATAGGAATGTATAAAAATTGCTGGTCAGACTTTGTTAGTTCTTATATATAGCCAACCATTTCTGAGGTAGCGAAACAGTCACTGGCAATGGTTGGCGATATATGAGAATCAATGCATGCCAAAAATTTATGTAAATTCAAATAGGAAAAGGGAAAATTCTGTTACAATTTAGATGTTTTGGTATTGCATCAGGGTCACATTCTGGTTTCAATTGGTTAATTTCCAGGAATTGTTATGACAAATATATGGTTCACATGCAAGTTATGTGTTGGTGGTCACAATATATAACGAACAGTATTGCATCTAGACGTCTATTTTATAACTTGACATGCAACGGGGTCCTACTAATTACTGCCCGAGACTGCCCGGGACTGCCCGGGGACTGCCCGAGACTGACGCCCGGGTAAACACCGTAACATAACGTTATTTATTATACAGTATGGTAAGGCAGTGTGCTCTTGTTTTAAAACGCTTAGTACATGTATAAAAGCTTTTTCAAAACAAAGCTACGTTGCTTGCAACCATTGACCGGCATTTTCCGCCGAAGTTCGTTTTTAAATTTTTATTTAAAACAGGAAAAACAAATTTTTCTCAAAAATGCTAGAAATTAGGTTAGGAATGTAAAATATGTGTACTAATTAAGGTAATTAGCGGAAACACCGTTTCCTTGGTATAATGACTTTGTTTTGGCAAAAATGGTCATGCATGTATTGCAGTGGCTTGCATGACTTTGTCTTTGTATAGTTACCATATCGCATGCTTCCATGCAATGGCAATGTTTTTT